CTCTTTTTTGACGAAGACGATAAATCCAAATTATATAAGTATTTTGATATAGATTTCCTTTAGTTAATTATTCATTTTATTCTAATTACAATTTTTGTAATAGTAAAACTACGGAAACAAAGTTTTCTTTTACAATTCGAAAAAAAACAAATTAAGAACTTTTGGTTCAACCTGGTAATTAGAACAATGGGGATTCAATCCCGTAATAGGGATAAGAAAATGAGATTTTGATTAATCTGCAAATTTTGGAATAAATATATCCATTAAATTATTTTCAAGTATTTGTGGACCAGACGATCGTCTAAGTATAGTATAATTTGATATCTTTACCTTCCAACGAGGAATCATTCGTTATGCACATGGCAGGTATCGATTAATTAAATTTCTTAACTATTTTCGTTCTTGGCTACCGTATTTCGTTTAAAAATATCGATAATATGATGAATCGTTAAGGGATTATGTTCAATCAAGTGGTGAAAAAAGAAGAAGAAGAAAAAAAAATCGATGTATTCAAAATTCTAATCGAGCATGATCCCCCTTAAAGAACATTGAGATTTCTTATTTTTTTTTTTTTTCGCGACAGAGTCGATATGCTTTTCCTATCAGAGATTTCAATGCCCGAAACCATGTTGATTATATGTTCAATATTATCAATGTATGTCTAATACGGAGATTAGAAATTGACTTTTGGGAGGAATTTTGATAATTGGTTGAAACGGTTGTTTCGGAATCAACGGAAATTGGTTGAATATACTCACTTCGTCCCATTCTTGCTTAAAGTAACTTCATATTAAAGGTATTTGCCCTATTGGCATAAAGGATTATATTTACTAATTACAATCCTAATACGGAGTGTAATCATTCTTAGAGTACAATAGGTAAGACGAAATATCCAGCAAGTAAATTCCATAATTTTCAATTAAAACATTTCTATTTCGAATAATTCACGTAAAAATAATGTTGAGTCATTTACTGTTATAATATAATTATATTTTAATAATAATTTATTATAACAGAGTAATATTATAAAAAAAAAATATAACCCACGTTTCGGAGAATTGAAAAAAAAAAAAAGAAAAAAAAAAAAGAATAAAACAAAACAAATAATTTATCAAAGTTTCAAGTTTTAATTATTATCTAGGATTTTTCAAGCCCAGGCCTATTATGGTTACGGTAGTCCTTTTAACGAAGACGAATCGTAGAACGTTACTTCTCGTCTTTCCACGCAAACAACGAAAGTCTAAAAAGATTGCTACCACGTCCAAGCGTGAAATGACCCCGATTAATTAGTCTCTTCTCTCCTGGTGTTATGCTTTAATCGACAATTCAATATTGCGTTCCTTCTCTTCCGCTATGTTTCAAATTTGTCGAATGAAATTGTTCGACAAATTTTATCACCAACGTATCTACGTTTTTACGTTTTTCTGATAGCAATTCGAGTTAACGAGAGATCCGATTATATAAATATATTTATTAATTATAAAAGAAAAGGAAATAAAAAAGCACTGGGATAAATGTAATAACGTCATATGCAAACAATAATCACTTAATATTTTTAAAGTCAACATTTTGGGGATCTAGTATTTTGTTAAATAATTTACTTATCGTTATATATATATATATGTGCGTGAACGTTTCAAAAATGTTGTTTAATGTAAATAATAATTTGTCCGTTGTAAATAGATAGTTGGTATTTATGATAGGGGTTTGGGGTTGCTTCAAGTTTCTAGATGATACAGGGTAGGTACCGATATTTCATTTAAGTACTGACAGTTTTTCTATTAATTGGTGTAATACTGACAACTTCTATTACATACTAATGTTTTATTATAAAACAAATAAAAAAATGATACCGATATTAAATTTTTTCGTGAAAATAGTGACCCAATAAATAGTCGACAATAATAATTGTCTAACTAATTAAAAAGAAATTGTACTTTTATCCTTATCGCATTTTATTTAAAAAGTTCTTTTGAAACAACGTAAATTTATGTTTCTATTATTTTTTTTTTTCTCATAAAATCATATTAATCTAGTTAGATTCTGATATTTTTTCTTTTTTTTTTTAATAATAATTTGAAATAAATTTTCTGTCGATTCAAATGAATTTCGCAAACGTATCTGATGATCGTTATAACGTTCGGAGATATTTTTTCAAAGATGAAAAATCTTATTATTCATACCATTTTTGTTTATGTATGTTCGCGTGTACTTAAAATAAAGTAGAAAATAATGACAAAACTATCTCGTTTTCCTAGAATATCATCAAGTCGGGGTTTCTCGTTTATAATGTTGATAAGAGAAAAGGAAAAGCGACATTATATATGCATATAGATATAGTTATATACATAGATAGACAATTGAGCGAACGTGTTTAGTAAGTAGTCGAGTAAAGTTGTCGCGTGTCAGACTTCCTAAGTTCGGTAAACGTGACGAGAGAAAATGAAATAGAGGTTACACAGTAATATGTAATACATAGTTACATTGCCTTAGTTACATTGTATTTGTTCATCGTCATATTTTTACTTTAATCAAACGATCAATCAAAATTTGGAAATTTTCAAAATTCATACTGGACTGTGGAAGAAGTATACGTTTTAGATCGATAAATATTTATGCAAATTTATAACAAATATTTATATCGACTCGTGATCGACAAAATGTATGTCGAGTCTCGTTCGACAAGATTATTACAAAGATGTAGATAAAATTAACACGTATTTTGTTTAATATAAATCTTAATTTTTCAGTAGTATATAATAAATGGATAGATAGTCAGTATCTATAATAAACGTATTGTCACAATATATATATATATATTTTTAAAAATTTTAAAAAAAAAAAAAAAAAAAGAAACTAAATCTAATAAATAACATATCTGTTTAATAATCAGGTCTTGAGAAAATGGTCAGATTTTTTTCAATTAAAAAAAAATTAAAAAAATATAAAATACACACGAAATCTTATTATTTATTATTTTTTCTTACACGACGATCAAATATACCGAGAAAGATAAACAGACGAAGTGTAGAGGGTGAAAAAAAGTAGAGAAGCAAAGCAAAGCAAAGCAAACGTTGTAGACTGCTTGTTGTTATTGTTGTTGTTATTTGAGAGAAGATAAAAAATTAATAAAAAAAAAAAAAGAAATAAAAAGATATAAAAAAAAACGAAGCTAAGGAGTAAGATAGATGTATCGTGTAAACAGATATTACTATAGGATAACAACAATATGATAGAATTGAATTTTCCTTAATGCAATTACTGCGAGCTGGCGTACGCTAACTAGGCTAAGCTTAGCTCAGTTTTCTTATCATCGTCGTCGTTTTCCTAGCAAAGATGAACGAAGAAATTAGCTAGCGTAATTGTGTTCTTTCTATTTATCTCCATGATTTGGAAAGAGTGTGAGAAAAAGTGGGAGACAGAGAAAGAGAAAGAGAGAGAGAGAGAGGGTGAGATGCGTAGACATATGAGATACTTAAGATAAAAATTTTCAAGAACTAAAGGAGGGAATGTAACGAGATCTAAAAAGATAATAAATGATTAATAATAATAATAATAATGATCATTATAATAAAACTTGAGCATCGCAAGTAGTCAAGCAGTATAATAAGATCATTCTAATAACAATTAATACCAAAGATATAGAAGAGAAAAAAATATAAAATATTAAAACTATAAATATATATACGGAAACGCGTTCTATCAATATATTTATCTATTGTTTTCATTGAGTAGTTAATCGATTTTAATGAGAAATGCTATTTCCGTTTACCTTGGTTTTTTTTTCAGACCTATTGCAATTCTATTTACGTTTTGGTAATTAATGATCATCTTCATCCTCTCAGTTTAATATGTAGATATGTGTATATTAATAAAAAATAATATTTAAATAATATATTAATGTGTGTGTGTGCATAGTTTTTGGCTAAATTTGTTTATTAACGTTTTAATTTAATTTCTCTAGAAAACTTTATACTCATTCTTTTTCTCATTCTTCAAAATTATTTAATTGATTTGTTTATATTTATTAATTAGTTTCTCTCTATTTCTCTCTCTCTCTCTCTGTTTTTATAAAGGTTCAAGCAACTTTTTGTCAAATTAGAAACGAAAGATATCGATCTATTTTAATTAATAATTATCCTATTCTTACGCTTCTTCTTTAAAATGTTATATAAATATCTCTAAATTAATAGTTACATCGAATTAGATTATCAATTTAACTACGCATTAATAATATCGTTTTTAAATCATATACAATAATACACGTATTATAAATTTGTCAATAATTAATTTGATTTAAACGTATTAATTTAGTAATGCGTTAAAGATTGTTTTTTTTTAATCATATAAGTTTTTTGTTTTTTATTTTAGAAATATTCTACTTTTACTATATTCAAAAGTTTGTTCTGTTATGTTGGAAACGTTTCAAATTGTTTATCGAAAATTCGTGAACACAATTATTCATTCGTATAATTAAAAGTTAAATGTTTTAAATCGGAATATAGAGTATGTAGATTTTATTCGGTTGCATTTATCGGTTAAATAGTTGGCGCGAAATTTTGTGGCTTTTAGAGAAACACAAACACACACATATACCGAACGTGTAATGAATTGTATTCGAACATCGGAAATTGCTAGATTGTTACTAGTACGGAGCTTTTATTAAGTTATCGCTTATAAATTTAACAGGATGGATAATTATAGTTAATCACATTAGAGCAATCATAGATTGGTATACGTTTAAATTAGGTTAATAAATTTGGTCTGTCATCGATTAAAGAAAAAAAGAACAATACAAATACCTAACGCTATTTTCTATTCGACGATAAACGCGATGATAAATAACAAAAAAAAAATAAAATAAAAAAGAAATAAAAAGATTTTCGTTAACTTTAAAAAATAGAAATAATATTTTTTGATAAATTTATCGAACACATACCGAAAATCATTTTCTCTTAGTTTTGTAAATGTTTTATTTATTGTAGAATTAATAAACTCACCGTGTACTCGTATTTTGAATAATCAGGATAATCAGTATTGTCTATAGATGGTGGATTATTGTTGTTTCTTTTAACTATTAGCCGTTGATCTAATTTATCACAGATAATATGTGGTAATATAATCAATATGAGCAACAAATAAATTACGTTGTTTTTCATTGTAGTTACTTTTAGTACTATAATTTTTCTCGTAATATCTATGAAAAATTCTTCATTCAACGTTAAATTACTTAACAGAAAACTCGTATTTTTGTTGAAATTTGATTTATCACGAATGTTTATGATCGTTTATCGAAATGAATAATATTTAATCGATTTAAATGTTTTCTCTTCTTCTTTTCTTTTTTTTCGAACTTCTTCCTGTTGTTTATGACACCTGGTGCGTGATAATAGTTCTTCCTGTTCACCTCTTGAACAAATTTTTGTTGGATTTTAATATTTGCATATATGCAAATTCTGGTTCTGGTTCTATTATTTGATTTTGTTTTGTTTTTTATATTTCCCTTTTCTTTCTTTTAAATAATCAATACATATCGACACACGATCACGATATTTTTCTCTCTTTCTCTCTCTCTCTCTCTCTCTCTCTCTCTCCCTCTATATATATTAGAATACAAATTAGTTTATCGTTAGTTTTGTATTCGATCTCTCCGTGATGTCAACGAAGAAAGTACTCTCGAGGACGCAATGAAACAACCGCGCCAGCGAAAGCGCTTCTATTTATTTGGAATAGACGCGCAGGCGCTTTTAAGCGCTCAGGATTTTCTTCTCATCTCTTTAAATTCGCTAAATCGTAAATCGATGTTATTTATAGTATTCGGAAATGTTAACAACTTAAACTTCGTACTATACTTATATGATAATTTGGTAAAATAAAATTTAATAATTTTTATATGACAAAAACGAAAAAATCGTTATAATTCGATATAACTTTAGTTTAAAAATACAAATTTTAAACAATAATGATACTTTTAATCAAGCATATTTATTTTTACCGGAATAAGTTTTATCAAGGGGTTGTTGCATCATTTAACTAATTAAAAATACAACATATTCATGTGCTTTAATAACTTCGGATTTTCTCTATTCAATTCTAGGTACTATGTTAAAAAGAATTTCGACTATTTATTATAATACATTTGTCGTGTAAATGAATTTATATTTTTCTTTTTAAATTTATCGTATAAATGAACAAATATTATTATTACTTTCAATGCGTTAACTTATTGAATTTATCTCGTTAACAAAAAAAAAAAAACATGTCCCATTGTTATTGATTATTTATTATTTACTTACTACGACGATGACAATCGTGTATCCGCATATCGTATGGTTTATTAAATTGATTGATTTATTTAAATGAAATAAACAATATCGAAGATCTATATCTCATCGTAAATATTAATATTGATCATTATATTATATTATATATTATACATTTAGTATTTATTCAAACAGACAATAGGGGAAAACAAAAAGGAAGATTAGAGATGTGAATCCTTGGTTGACAACGATTAACGAGTCCAATTAATCACGTTTGATAGGTGTCGATCAGAAAGACCAAACGAAGCAAACCATTTGAAGGCGTATCGTTAGGATAACACATTTAACTGGTTAACGATAAGAGACCAGGTTAATCCTAAATCTGGGTAAACGTGGGTCGCACATTTTAATGAATTTATTGAATTTATGATAATTATCTTTATGTTGGGGTTTAAAAATATTCAACCCATCCCCGCTTGTAGATGCAATTATCAAGTGACAAACATCTTAAAACATAAAATTGTTATCGGAAGTATCCATGAAACCTCAGATATTTATTTTGTTTACTGCTTTTCACATTCGTTAACTATTTCCGAACTCGTACTTGAAGTAAATGTATTTTATGGGGTAGCCTCGACCTCTAATTTTATGTCCCTGAAAACATTTTGTCTTTTTACCTCGACACAATATGGAATCGTCTTAATTAAAAATGACTCTCAATCAAGAGAAAATGACCTTTTTTTTAATTTATGAATTAATAATTTTTTTTTTGTGTTTTTTTTTTTTTTTTTCACGAGTAATCATGGCAAATCGCTACCGCGTTTCGTTTCATATCTCTTTTTTCTTTTTTTCTTTTATACGCAATATTTCGTTTCTTTTACTTTTTAAAAATCTTTTTTTTCATTTTCGAGTAATCAATCATAATTGCGAATATTGTTCTAATTACGCTCGTCCAAATAAAGAGGAGTAGTTTGTATTTTTACAATATTATATAATAGTCGTTATAATCACGTAATTTTTATTTATTTGATAAAACAACAACAACAAAAATTAAAAACTTTTGAAAAATTTTCTTCTTCTTCTTCTTCTTCTGGTAATTTTTATTCATTCGTTTGTATTTTTTTTTTTAGTAATTTCGATATTATTTGTATTAAATTAATGAAAAATATCAGCAAGACAAAAAATACTCGATAGTTCTTCGACGTTGAAATATCATGCTCATTGACAGATATTTAGGGAGGGAAAAAAAAATCGATTTAATTATGGACTACCTTCGTAGTCACGTACCGGTCATAATTAAGGACTACATAATAACATTCGGTCTTGAACGTTATCCTACGTGACGAATTATCTTTCTTTTTCTTTTTCTTTTTTCTTTTCTTTTCTTTTCCATCCTATCTTACTTTGTTAATCTTCAAACTTTTCCCGTTTCTTTCCTCTTTTGTCAAAGTGTACCGATCGTACCCATTGAATTCACGTTAAATAGACTTCGTAAACGAACTGACCGTAAGAACTAATAGATTAATTACGAAGGGATAATCCGATGAAATGCTAGTAAAAAAAATAAAAGAAAAAAGAAATTATACACGATAGACAAAACCACTTCTGTTTCCGTATTTTATTTAAAACAAAATAAAGAAGAAGAAGAAGAAGAAAACCGAACAAACGGAGGAGACAATTTCAATTTTTCAACATTTGTTTTTTTTTTACAGAAACCGAAAAAATTATTACGATCGTGATTAACAAAATTATAATATATTCATATTTTATATAAATAAGAAAAAAAAAATGATTAAGAGAGCTTGATACATAATTGCTGTATTATTTTCTACTATTAAGTATGAATATTTGGGAAAAACAAAAACATAAAGATTTACGTGCGTGAATTAACAATAAGAAAAAAATTGTTTTATTCGTTTCGATTTGAGTACCGGTTTACTTGAAGTATAATTTTGAAAAAAGTCTTGAACTGAAGTTATTAACGACTCAGCACGTCGTGGTGCTGTTTTCAATTGGCGTCTGGATGCGAGCGAGAAGACGATGATTGGCGTTGTTCGTTTGAAAATGATCGTGGGTGTAGTAAACGACGTAATAAAAAAAGGATGGTTTATTTATTACTGCCCTGTACGGGTACCCATCTTTCTCTCTCTCTCTTTCTCTCTTTTTCTTTCATATTTGCTTTATGTCCATACAGAATATGCATTATATGTGATATTTATTCTATGTATATCTTGATAAGGTCAAATATAATTAATCCGTTAATCCATTGATCTAATAATTCGCTTCAATATATTTGGTCAGAATTTTTTTCAACGTGTTTGTTTCTTTTTTTTTTTTTTTTTTAATACTATTTCACAAAACAAAGAATCAGTATGAATGAGATTGTTTTGTTCGGTATAAATAATATTTTAGGAATATGTTAATTAGATGATCGATTATAACATAAGCAAGGTTGTTGTAATAAATTGATATAGGATACGTATTGAAATTTTATTAGAAATACTGATCATCTATTTAAAATGTATATTAATAGTTTTTGAATTGGATCGATGTCGTATTGATATTTTGTTACAAATAATGATTCATTTATTTTTCAAAATACCGGCCCAATAAGTAGCAATCTAGTTAATTAATGACATTCCTGTTACTGCAAAAGTTATGAATTTATTGAGTAAATTGTAATTTATTATGAACAGATGATACACTAAAGAGAAAACAATGATGTAAATTTAGCTAAAATATTCGATCCAATAAAATGATTTCAGTTATCTTGTTAAATTATTCGACGATGCAAACGATATGTGTGATGTAAAAAATATAATATAATATAATTTTACGTGTACCTAATATAGTATAATATAATATTTCTTTAAGGGAATAGATTAGAACACGATTTAGACGGTTAGAAACAAAAAGAACAAAAGTAAAAGTACTTATACACGACACTGTATGTCAATCAGAATGGTGGTAGGTGTCCAGAATAATAGGAAAGTACGAAATGACAACGTAAAGGTTTCTCTGGTAGCACTTAACCACATGCTGACATTTTTCCTTCTTTTATTTCTTTTTATGTAAAAGAATAAAGCATGTATTCGATTATCCGTATTTCGTATTAACGCATTACTTTTTGTTTGTTATACATATTATTAAAGTTTTCTTATTTGAATTTTATCATCATTCTTATCATCCCTTATATTTTCCAACGTAGATTGAAAAATCGACGTGTTCTGTGATTTCATTATTTTTGTATTTTTTTGACGTTAGATCATTCATTACACATTTTTTCAAGGTCGCCGCTATTTTTTACTCACTAATTATGTATTTTTTTATATTGTATCTTTTAGCGGATAAAATAATACATTTAAATATATCGGATAACTGATGTTAGATTACTGTTATATAGAGCGTCAGTAATGGGTAAATTCTTGTTATATCGACCACCAGCAATAATAACTTCCTATTAACATTGATCGTAAATATAATAATAGTAGATTTCTACCTTAACACGTTACAGCTAATACGTTACATTAAAAAAAAAAAAACCGTAGGAACGCTGGCAATTTACCTTTGCAGCAAAAAAAAATGAATAAGTGCTATTAATTGCACACAATTTCCTCAACTTTATTTTATCAAATATTTTTTATTTATCGTTAATTAGTTGAAAATAATAATTACACTTTGAATAATTATGAAATAGCGACGTGATGAGTGGGAGATATGTTATACACATGCGCAACCACAAATTCAAGGTGCAAGCACATTTGGAAAAAAATGAAAGTAAAGTTGGTATACCTGCAGGGGATATATTTAAAGTTGATTTCCAAAGTAACAACCTATAAGGTAGTGAAAAGAAATAAGTTAATCGTTCATAATGTATAAACAATAGGTAAATATTTTCATTTTTTCATTTTTATCTGCTGTTGCGGTTCTATGCCAACTTTTTTGCGGTGAAGTATATAGAAACTCACAAGTCTCCTTTTTTATTTACCCAGCATCATTTTTGTTACCACTGGGACTGCCATTGGATGATAGTATGTACTTAACGCGATGACGGTACAATACTATCAAAGAATACAATATTTATATATTATAAGTCAAGGAAATAGTGTGCAATTAAGAGCACTTATTCATTTCTTCTGCTGTTGCAAATTTCGTTGGTTTGCTTAGAAATAGGAAAAAAATTGTTGTATTTTCAATTATAATAACTAATGAAATAAATTATTATTATAGTGAGCAGTTATGGATTTTGACTGAGCAAATATTGTGCAATTAAGAGCATTTA